TAATCCATCGAAATTTATACGAACATAAAATCCCGAGTGATCGATTAAGTGTATTAGGTTGTAAGCCCGTAACTAGATCCTACCTTACTTATAATCAATCGTCTTCTATGTATCTTCGACCGTCAGAAAATTATCTTGTTTATCTCATCTTATTTGAGCCTGAAGTTATTACGAGTATAATATGGCCCGTAGTTTTATTAGCGACAAATTTGTTGTTCAGAAAAATAAGAAGCAATTGCTGCGTCTTTTTGGGATAAAGTCCTAAAGCAACGGTCACTATTAAGCAATAGTAAATGAAAGATCTATTTCTAAAACTTCCGTAAAAACTGTTATAAGTGAGTGTCTATATAACAAAAGTTCCAAATTTTAAGTCTATCGAACGGATATTCGGAGATCATATGGATTGCCTTCGCTTCTAAATAAAGAGTGATCAACTATGAGTGACTACTCCGTAAATTTTGCTCACGCCGGAGCCAATCTCCATCGACGCCCTAGATACGTCCTTACGGATCCATCAGACCCAATTACTGTTTCATTAGACGCCTTCAGCTGTAACACTAGGAGAAGGCTTAGGGTCCCCGTTAACCGTACTCTTGGAACTCGACAAATGGTTCGACGTGCAACTTAGCCCATGCATCAGCCCGCTGAGGTTCTCGCCGGATCTTCTCAGGGAGTCGCGATTCCAATCCAGTAGATATTTATTCGCGAAGCAGCTGCTCCTGAGTTGTTAGGTTTCCTTTGGAGGCGCTCGGAGAGCTGTTAGCAAATCCCACCCCTTTCTGTCTGAGCTTGCTCGCCCTTGCTCGCCCATCTGTCCTGGTTAAACTGGAAAGGCCCCATTAGTAATATAAAAAAGGGAATTTAATGTTTATTTTATCATTCTAATCCACTGAACAAGTGAACCTGACTTTATTGAAAAAGTTATCTTGGCAAATGTGAATGTTTCTGGTTCCAATTCCGGTGTATTTTATGAATAACATCCACGATGTTATTTCTTACATGGGTGGTTGCATTCATTCACATTATGCTGCCTACGAGAACCATGAACCTAGAGCAATGAAGAAAGTAGCGAGTTAACTTCACTGAACGGGTCAAGCAAGTATTTTCATAGAAATGAGCCAAATGTGAAAGTGATTGGCCTTATTGCAGCAGTATTAAAGCAATAAGTAGTGCGTTTCGACTATGTAAGCCCTCCTCCTCCTCGAGTCGTGTTCCTCATGTCTGAGGGTCGTGACCACCATCACCCATGAGCTTCAATCTTAAGATCTTTTTCCACTTTCCGCTGTCCACGGCGTCATGCAGCGCGCTGTACACTGTACTGTCCAAAGCGGTGCGGATCTGATCGGACCAACGAGTATGGCTGCGGCCTCTAGATCTGTTGCCTTCAACTTTCCCTGTGATCATAAGTTTTTCCAGGTTATCGCCGTCTTTCCTCGCAATGTGACCAAAATATTCGAGGATCCGCTTCAGACATACAGTAGANAGCGCGCTGTACACTGTACTGTCCAAAGCGGTGCGGATCTGATCGGACCAACGAGTATGGCTGCGGCCTCTAGATCTGTTGCCTTCAACTTTCCCTGTGATCATAAGTTTTTCCAGGTTATCGCCGTCTTTCCTCGCAATGTGACCAAAATATTCGAGGATCCGCTTCAGACATACAGTAGACAGTCTGATTTTGATGCCCAGTTGCATCAATATCGACACGTTAGTAAGCCCTAAACACGGATTAATACTACACACGGATAATTACGGATCCTCCCGATCCATTAACGGTGCCTTTAGGTACTACAAACACCGGTCACCGTCCCCGTCGAACCCGTCGCTTGCGAGGAAGGGCGTGATGAGTGAATTAAGCCATAGACACAGCCCACTGAGTTTCTCACCGGATTTTCTCAGTGGGTCGCGTTTCCAATCAGGTGGTATATTCATCGAAGCACTGCTCTTGCTAGGGCCAGTGTTAGCAACGCTCCCGGTTTGAGCTCCGTTAGTTCCACTACACGTCAAGGAGAAGAATAGCCTCTCAAGGCTATCAGCATAGTTAGGTAAAAAAAGACTATGTAATTGTCTTGATCAGATAAATAGATCTCGCATTTTCCCTGTCATTGTAAGGTCTAATTTTTTTTTGGGTTATTTAGATTAGTGGGCTAGCTCACGGCCCTCTTGGTGTTAAGCGGTTACCGGAGCCGGACATCTACAACCTAAATGCCGTCACCCACCTCGAACCAGTTGTAAGGTTTCAGTTCACTGTTTCACGGCAGAAATAGGCGGGGTGGTGGTACCTACCCGTGCGGACTCCTAAGATGTCCTTTTTATTACCCGATGCTATACCTTCACCGTGCAAGTCAAAGGTGAATAATTGTTAAGTACGTATTTCATTAGAAAAAATCGAACACTTTTTCATCGCTACATACGAATGCACCGGGTGTCTTATCCGTTAGGCCACGTTAGTGATTATGGTTTAAAAATTTCTTATCGCCCACATAGTCTGCCTAAGAATTCACAAAGATCGCAATAAAAATTTTTTTTTTTTGTAACGAACGCCCTCGTTGAACGCCTACGATCGGCGAAATCCTCGAAAATGTTTGATTAAATAATGAAATTGCCAGGATTACCAATAACAAAAAGCCATTTGTTTTCCATTTTATGAGCGAAAGTACAGCAAATAACAGTAATTGCTTTGTGTGCCCCTTTTCGATCCGAAGCCCTTTCTATATTCATTATTTAATTTGAGTTTCATTGTAATGTTTCATAAATTATATAATATTTCATATTTTCACTAAATATCTATTGGAGCCATTTCTAAAATGAACTTTCAAGAAACTTTCTTTATTTTAACATGTAATTCAAATAAGAGATTTCTGGTTTATAAATTTTCTTCAAATTTCTAACATTTTCATAAATTTTTGACTAATTACTTTCTTGGGTGCTTATTTTACTCGTGCTGTCTTTGCTAGCCGTTAGAGGTAGCAAAGTTGTAGGGTTAGATTGGCGTCTTCAAATGAGTGAGGTAGCCGCGTCATTTAGACATGGTGATTTGTTATAATGGCTGGCATGGAGAGTTTTGGTTAAATCGAGAACAAGGGTATTGTCACGACCATTAATCACTAAACTCAACGATCCAAGATCCACTAACACTATGGTAGAATACTCCTAGCAGATCGAGGGGTGAAAGGGTTTGGTTTGGTTTAAGTGTCATTTTTGCAACTTTATAGGAGCGCCATTTAAAATTTGGATAAAATGTCATAACAAAAAAACTTCTTTAACTATTTGAATGGAGTAAACTTAATAGGAGTTCAATTAAAAACATCGTGCTGTTGATACTAATCTTTATATATAAAAATGAATTGCTGTTCGTTAGTCTCGCTAAAACTCGAGAACGGCTGGACCAATTTGCCTAATTTTGGTCATGAATTATTTGTGGAAGTCCAGAGAAGGTTCAAAAGGTAGATAAATATGAAAATGCTCGGAATTTAATAAAAATAACAATTTTTTTTTCCTTTGATGTGTCCCCCGTCGGACGGATTCTTTTTGATTGAGGCACTACGAAGTCTGCCGGGTCAGCTAGTACCATATAAAAACGATCTTTAATTACAAAGATAGATGTCGCGTATTATGGGAAATGTCGCTTAAACCAAATAACCTCTTATCCTTCGATATCATACTCCTTTTTCTATTTGAACTTTGGGACGCCAGTGACCGGGGAGGTATCGATTTGATTTTTACAGCTCTTTACGAAAAATAAAGATGGGTAGGCATAATTAACATTGTTTTAACGGTTTAATCTTAAGTTTATTATTTTTGGACATCCAAGTCAACAATGAGGAATTAAAACCGAAAGTTGACAATACTCAGTTCTACTGTGTTAGGAGTAGCTTTCAACGTTAGTATTAAAAAAAAATACTGGTTCATTTTCGTCAAATTGAAAACGCTTGCGATGAAAATTGAATTATTTATGATAATCATAAGCGGTCATCGTGTTGGTAATTCTTGACTCAGCACCTAGGCAATGCCCCAAATGAAAACTTACCTTAAAATACATAGCTTCTTCTGAATAGCACTAGCATTGCCATGGATGTGTATTATGTATTAGAAATTGGACACAATGATAGAGAGGCACACGAATCTTCGGCTAGCCTTAGGTGATCGCTCATGCCCACTGTTCCTACGTAACAACAGTCGACCTCATACGGAGCAACAGATGATCTCTAAGCTACAAAAGCTAGGGTTGGAAGTTTTGCGTCATTCGTCAGACCTTGCGCCGACAGACTTCTACTTTTCCCAAATTTTGAATGACTTGGCAGGGAAAAAATTCAATACCCGAGAGGTAGTACAAAATGCACCTGACTTTTTCAAGTAGGGCATTAAGAAGTACGCTAGAACGATGCCAAAGATGCGTTATTCATTGACAGAAATAAAAATGTTTATTTGAAAATAAATTGTACTTTATATAATACGTACAATGTACTGTATACTAAACGGCAAATAAACTGTAAAAATATTTTAATTATGTCCAAGATTTGCGAAAACCGAAAAAAATCGGTAGGCAGCGGCTGGCTCTGCCCCTGACATTGCTGAAGTCCCTGGGGAACGGTAACCACTCAGCATCAGGTGGACCGTATGCTCGTCTGCTACAAGGGCAATAAAAATAATAATACTTGTATTGGTTTCAACTTAAAATCGATTTGAATGAAAGTTAAATATATTCTCACGAAACGAAAATTTATTTAAAAAACTTATGTAAACATCCATTGATATTTCTAGTTAGGTAAGATTCTACTTACATTTTTATTATTTTGGTAAGTGTCATAAATTTGCTTAATTAATTACAGATACGTATTTAAGACTTCCAAAGTAATATTTTACACTTGTATGTACTTTCCAACGAATGTTTTTATATTAAAACATTTATATAAACTAGTAAAATTTTAATTTATTAAATAAATACCGAATTAATTAATAGAGATAAGAAAAAATCCTAGAACATTTTATACATTCTATACTTAAATTAACTACTAATGATATCGTTTAGTTTATAATTAAATCAGCCAGGCAACGCGTCCTCCTTTCTCTCGTTCGATAGCTCTGTCGTCGGGTGCGGACACGTTATGTTCGGCTGAAGCGGAAGCGGTGGCGGGTAGCGGAGCTTCACTTACGCGGCGTCGCGTGAGCGAGCGTTGTGGCTCCCGTCATGAGCCACAGTCTATCCGAGCGCAGACTGCCGCGCTAAGTAACGTGGCTAATGCCAGGGCTATTTGAACGCAAGCGATCACGACCAAATCGCGTGATGAGGGTTGCGATTCCTCTTCTTGTGGTCCGTCGCTAAAACAAAACACGGATAGTTATTTTCGTTAAACTGCCCAATTGAATATGTTTCGAGAATCTTGAATTTATTAATGGGATTACCTAGAAAATATGTTTGCATTAATTATTATAATTAGAGTTCTGCCAACGACGCATAATAAGTAGTTTTATAACTAAATAATTATATACTACTAAATATATATTAATGAACTTTAAATGAAGGTAGTCGTTATTCTAAATGTTTATTTATTTGGAAATTCTGCTTCAAAGTGAAAGAAGCCATTGCCACTTGATCGTAGGCTGCCACTGGAGTTTATATCCGCTACAATGTGAACTGAGATCTCAATTATAGTTAATAAATGGCAATATTACCCTTTAAATAGAATGAAACCGTACAGTAACTTCATGGCAGAGACAAGCAAAACAGTGGTATCAAACTATGCGCACAAAAGTAACAAAATAACAGATAGAATCCAAAGACATCATCCTTTTTTAAATTTCTTAAACGAAGATTTTGACTCAGACAGGGAACTAAATCTAGAGCTCATGGTATAGGAAGAAATCAGACAGATTAAAAAAATATATATATATAAATTGAACGGTAGGTGGTAACGAAAGGTGAATGCTTGAATGAAAGCGTGAATATTTATTTATTTGGAAAACCTACAGTACAAATCAAGCAAATAATAATATATAAAAAAATAGCTAAAACAAAAACCAAACAAGTTTCTACCATCAAAATCACATATATTAAGTAGAGAGTGAAATATGTTATATTTTAGTAGTCTGCGAGTAGTTACAAAATACAAAATAAAGAATTTTTTTTTTTATTGCCCTTGTTGGCAGACGAGCATACGGCCCACCTGATGGTGAGTGGTTACCGTCGCTCATGGACTTCAGCAATGCCAGGGGCAGAGCCAAGCCGCTGCCTACCGCTTAATACTCTCCATAAGCCTCGTTTGAAGAAGGACATGTCATAGCGCTCGGGAAACACCGTGGAGGGGAGCTCATTCCATAGCCGGATGGTGCGTGGCAAAAAAGATCTCTGGAAGCGCACTGTGGATGACCGCAGTGGCTCCAGGTAGTATGGNGCCCTTGTTGGCAGACGAGCATACGGCCCACCTGATGGTGAGTGGTTACCGTCGCTCATGGACTTCAGCAATGCCAGGGGCAGAGCCAAGCCGCTGCCTACCGCTTAATACTCTCCATAAGCCTCGTTTGAAGAAGGACATGTCATAGCGCTCGGGAAACACCGTGGAGGGGAGCTCATTCCATAGCCGGATGGTGCGTGGCAAAAAAGATCTCTGGAAGCGCACTGTGGATGACCGCAGTGGCTCCAGGTAGTATGGATGAACTCTACTCCGGTGGCGGGCGGTGCGGTGGTAAAAACGAGATGCCGGTATCATCTCAAATAATTCCTCAGAGCACTCCCCATGGAACATACGGTACAAAATACAGAGGGAACCGAAGTCCCTCTGCAGACCCAGAAGTTCCAAACGATCCGAGAGAAAAAAAAAAATCAGGAATAACCAACAATTTACCGTTATTATGATTAGGCGTGTATCTACTTATTAATACTTAGGAACTTGTAATGTGTTATGTTAATACAGAGCTTGAACCCTGTGTATCCTTCAGGGATACAGCTTGTTTTAATAATGTTCATGTTATTATTTATACATAATTTACATTATGAATGAGTACCGTGAATATTCCTTGATCTTGAATGTTGATATAGTGTTATTTTATCAAAAAGTTGTGCTACCAAAATTTAAATTACAATATTTTTTTATTAAATCGTTCAGACATGATTTTATTTTAACGTATTAAGACAGAAACACTCTGGGGTTGAAATTATTAAAATTTTACTAAAGAGATGCATTTGATGTCACGTGCTGTCACCGCTATTGTGTTTCGGGCATTTAAAAAATTTCGGTTTTCTTTTCAGAATGCTTTTATTTTTTAGTAATCATAATAATAAAAACTAAAACACCCGATAAAATGTAGGCAGCATTCTTTATCATAATAATAATAGTATATTTATTTCAAGTGACCAGGACTCATAAATGTTGGCACAACTCAAAAACGGTGTTAGAATATTTAAAGCTACAACATAATTAGAATGTCAGAGAACGTCTATGGCATTAAGTCTGCCTTTATACTATCTAGTATATAACGCTATAAATAAATAAATAAAATAAATACATATATTGAGCCGCACTGCGACCCATCGCCGTACTCTCCCATGAGAAATAGCACTGCAGCGATTCATGTATTATCCAGACGTATTGCAATGCTCTTACAACCACCCCTCACTCAGCAAGCTAAGGACACGTTCTTAGGCCCCTAGCACACGGCGCAGTTAAAACGCGCAGACGACGCGTGTTTCAGGAGCGCGCGTCATCTGCGTCGTAGATGCCGATTTTTGCGTTTGTATAGATTCAAAGAGGCGTAAAGCGTTTGAAGCGCGAACGAAGGGGCGGACCGATCCATTAACGGTGCTTTTAGGTATCACAAGCACCGGTCACCGTCCTAGTCGAACCCGTCGCTTGCGACGAAGGGCTCGACAAGCAAATTAACCCATAGATACAGCCCACTGAGTTTTTCGCCGGATCTTCTCAGTGGGTCGCGTTTCCGATCCGGTGGTAGATTCTGCGAAACCCTGCTCTTGCTAGGGCCGGTGTTAGCATCATTCCGGTTTGTGTCCCGTGAGCTCACCTACTTGTTAATGTTACATTGAAATACCCCATCAAGGCTATCAGCTTAGGTAGGAAAAAAAAGAAGGGGTGGAGGAGGGGTAGAGGAGGGGCACGCGCTCACGCCGTAGTATCAAAACGTAGAAGCTACGAGCGACCACAAAGTCTCTGTATTGCTGTATCCGCGCGTATAAGCGCAGTACACGCGCTTCACGATCACCGCTTGTGCTTAGGGTTACAAGGTTCATTCGAATTTCGTTTGAAACGCGTATACGCGCGTCATCTATGCGTCGACTGCGCGTTTAAAACACGCCGTGTGCTATGGGCCTTACGCTGTGTGAAAACTTAATACTCGTGCATCTGCGAACATGCCTGAAGCGGTAGAGAAGCGGAGTAGCCGAACCAGTATCCTAAGCTTGTTATTATATTGAACAAGGAGGCCATTCGACGATCGTTGCCCATATCCGGCCTACAAGCTGCGCGTGTGAAAGGCTTTGCAGTAGGCCCGAAAGAGAGTGTGACTTTTATTTTTAGTGAGCAGCGTATTCGCCCTTATCGACATACCTTATTTACCTTACCTCCCGATATTAGGTTGTGGTTGTATGCTCTCTACCAACATAGCACTGAGTGTAAGTTATATTGTAGTTGGAGGTGACGAATGGAGAATTAGTAAATGGCTCGTTTTTAAGCTATGATTTATCTTAACTTACCTATGATTAACCCCGGGCGGATCCAGGATAGTTCTGCAGCATTGCACGATAAGCGCAAGTAGTAAGCACGAGGCTGCGGCCCACAAAACGCTGGCCGCTCCCGCTCCTGCGCCCGCCACTCCCGACACAGTGCTCCAACCTCGCGATGTGTGGATAGAGACCGCTTCGGAAGAACATTTTGTACTCACATTTATAATTTCTAATTTATTTTTATAATTAAAACCTATTCGTGTTCTTTATTTGAATTCTTAGCTTTTGAGTTCTGTGAGTCTACTTTGCCTTTTATTAGTTTTATTAATTTGCTTAGTAGCTTGTATCACCTTAACTAAGCGTCAATATTTAATTCGTTCGACCTGTCGAATGTTTGTTCAGCCGTGAACGATCATATTGGGATCACAAAGATACATCTTGAACTGAAATAGATTCTTCAATAAAGGGCACTAATTACGTAAATTCATAATTGCTTTATTCCTTAGATGGATAGCTCACGTCCTGGTGTCATCCACCCATCAATGACAAAAAAAAGAAATTGGATATTGGGCTAATTGTAGTTTTGAAATTTAAACAAAATATTGTAAAGCTGTAGATTTCGATTTTGTAGATGTGAAAAAAATAAGAAAAAAATATACTAAGCGTTTTCACGCGCAAGATGGAAGCCTGAAATCGTTTTATTTATAGGCATCACTGAGGCTTACCTGCTGCTAACACACTAAGGCCGCCAGCCGGTATTCCGAGACCCATATTGAACTTTTGCCTCTCTTCTATGAAAGCTACGCTGCCCATCACCATAGCTGAAATTCCACATACTATCTGTAAACAATAACAAAATAGTTATAACTTTTTGTTAATGGAACGAATTAATGTTATCTTCTATCTTCTATATATAACTATATATAAAAATGAATTGCTGTTCGTTAGTCTTGCTAAAACTCGAGAACGGCTGAACTGATTTGGCTAATTTTGGTCTTGAATTATTTGTGGAAGTCCAGAGAAGGTTTAAAAGGTAGATAAATATGAAAATGCTCGGAATTAAATAAAATTAACAATTTTGTTTTTCCTTTGATGTGTCCCCCGTCGGATGGACTCCTTTTGTTTGTTTTAAGTTTATTTTATACAAAAGTTTAGGTCTTTTATTTATCGATTGAGGCACTACGAAGTTTGCCGGGTCAGCTATATCAAAATAAATTAGATGTGATTTAATTTTAACGGATTTCGATAGACTTATGAATCGATATTTGCGCTAAAATTGGATGATTTTAATTTTAAAAACCCTCTTTCTGTAGCAGTCTTGTGAAAACATGCAAAGATTTTTGTGGTTGAATTTTCGGGACGCCACCCTTTCGAGTGGAAAGAGAGTTGAATCTACCTGTTGAAAATGTTGCTAGCTAGCCCCCTGCCCATTGAAATTTCCAAGCTCATTTGCATGACATGGACATCTGCGGGGATCGCACCCTTGGGCAGAAAAACCGACGGAAGGGTTGTTTTTGGTAACATAATTGTTTTATTTATTATACAACTATTCTAGACGTTTTAGTCATAAATGCATCTTTAATAAATCTTTCTTTAGAAAAAGACCTTTCTTTAGAAGGCATTCTGAGCAACGCCAATCCATTTTCTTTAGAAGCTGTAATAGGATTTCATTTGGGAGGTTTTCCTTAAAATGTTTCTTTAGTTGAATTTACCGGAAAATATAATTTTGGTAATTCACTGAGGCGTTTTAGTAGTGAATGGTATTTTTTTGTTATAAAAGTAGTAATATTAAGTAAATACATGAACCTTGAACATGAAAATTGTGGAGTATTTGAAACGTCGATAGTAATATAATATCTTAAACCTTATATATATAAAACTTATACAGGGGATCTCGGGGGCGATTAATCGATCTGGCTACGATTTATTTTCAGAAATGTTGTTTTGTTCGTATTCTCAATAATCAACTTTATGACCCTTCCCGACATCTATTGGCGAATAATAATACTATTTTTCATAATTGAGAGTAACTAAGTGCTTTAAAGACACAATAACACTAAAGTTATTTCAGCAGATGGCGTTGTTAAGCCACCCGAAGCCACTTAAAAATGCCTAAACGATCTTGGAATATTACATCATTTTATCAATATGTAATTCGTATTTAAATATAATTTCTAAAAAATACAATTCAACAACAAAAAAAAACTGAGCGAAGCTGGCTGGAAGCGGCCATCGTCTAGTATAATACCTGGTCAGGTCATAAATTCTGTCATATGTTTAATGTTAAATAATTGAAACAAGTTTATTCATTATGTAACCATTCATATACCAAAATGAACTTAACAAAACATAGATTCTTATGACATTAAAGTTTATTCAAAATGACCTCCGTGATTTTGAATACAGGCCTTCAATCTGCGCGGCCAGTCGTCTATCGCAGCACGAACGAGGTCCATGTTAATATCGGCGGCTGCCTTAATCAAGGATGTCTTGAGTGACTCCAAATTGGGATGAGGCTTTGAGCACGCCTTTTCCTCCAAGTGTTGCCATATCTTGTAATCTAACGGATTCAAATCTGGACTGGAGGAGGGCCAGTCTTCGTGCCGGATGAAGTCGATTTCACGCGCCGCCAGCCAGTCTTGTGTGCTCTTCGCTCTATGAGCTGGCGCCGAATCTTGTTGGAATACCCAGTGCCTGTTATTGAACATGGTATGAGAAACAGGTTCCACAAGGTTCGTCAGGACTGTATTTTGATACACAACTGCATTCGTTTTTACACCTTTCTCACAAAAATGTACCTCTGTTAAGCCCCAATAAGAAACTCCCAACCATACCATGAGCGAGGATGGAAAATAACCTCGTTGGACACGCGGAATACGGTTGCTCGCTTCTTCACTACTGTGTGCGTACACCTTATCATTTTGTTTGTTGTAGCTCTCTTGTACGGTAAATATTTTTTCATCCGAAAAAAGAATTTCCCGATATTTTTTTCCCGCGTACCGCTTCAACAAAGCGCGGCATCTCTTCAGTCTCAGGTCCATTAGACGAGCATTCAAACGATGTCCTGTTTTTCTTCGATATGCCCGAAGCCCTAAGTCTTAATTTAACACCCTTTTCATCGTGGTTCTGCTTAACCCCATCTGAAGGGCCAACAGTTTCTGCTTACGTTTAAGATTTCTTTGAATTCGCGCCTTCACAGCTTTTATCACTGCTGGAGTCCTAACAGACCGAGGGCGACCACTTCTTGACCTGTCATCTACACTAGAGTCTTCATTGTATCGTTTGATGGTACGATAAATGAATCTTTTGGTTATATTAAAAATTTTCAGTATGTTAAAAATTTGAATTGGCGCGTAACCGCAACGATGCAACGCAATAACTGCAACACGGTCTTCTTTAAGCGTCCACTGCATATTTAAAAAAGAGTAAAATTCTAAAAGTATACATTTTTATTTTCATGAACAATTCGAAATTCGAATTTAATAAACTTTTTTGTGGCCAGCATTCTAAAAGAAAAGTTTTTACTGTGTGACAATACTTATGACCTGACTAGTTATAATGAAAGCAAAAAAATTAGAAAATCGCGAAATTTCAATCGTGGGTGTAGTTTTAATCATGTCTATGATTGGCGACGTCCGGTGAAGCACACCACCACCCGAAATGATGACCACGACCACTCTGCCAAGAGTGCAAACGACTGAGAAGAAGAATAATTCGCGAAGACTGAAGATAAAAGAATAAATAATAGAAAAAAATAAGGCGTTGTTTTGGTACAAGCCACGTCTTCAATCGAGTTGGTTGCACAACCACCCGGGCTACTAATTTATAAGAGCTAACCACTTAGTTTCAGTTCCGAGAATACTGTGAAAAACAAATTGTGTCTTAACTTATTTTGTACAATATTTTGAGGAAAAGCGAAATTTTACAAAGTTTGTCTGGCTTCTGACTGTAAGCACTTAATTGCGTTGAAGCTTTCAGAATAAAAATTACGGAAAAATCTTTTAAAGCATTTTATTTCATTATTTTTGTTATTTGTTTTTTTTATGAATCCTTACGATTACTGGTGGCTCGGGGGCCTTTCCAGTTTCACCAAGGTGGGCAAGCAAAGACTCAGCCAGGGGGGGTGGGAGGATTTGCTAACGGCTGCCCGAGCGCTTTTTTTTTATCGCTTACATGGGTGGACGAGCTCACAGCCCACCTGGTGTTTAGTGGTTACTGGAGCCCATAGACATCTACAACGTAAATGCGCCACCCATCTTGTGATATAAGTTCTAAAATCTCAGTATAGTTACAACGGCTGCCCCACCCTTCAAACCGAAACGCATTACTGCTTCACGGCAGAAATAGGCAGGGCGGTGGTACCTACCCGCGCGGACTCACAAGAGGTCCTACCGCCAGTAATTACGCAAATTATAATTTTGCGGGTTTGATTTTTATTACACGCTTCCAAAGGAGACCTAACAACTCAAGAGCAGTTGCTTCGCGAATGAATCTACTATCGGATCGGAATCGCGACCCGCTGAGGAGATCCGGCGTGAAACTCAGCGGGCTGATGCATGGGTTAAGTTGCACGTCGAGCTCATTGCCGAGTTCGACAAGGACGGTTACCGGGGTGACTTTTTTGTTGTTTTATAGATTGAGCTTAAAACCAGTTTTTCAACTTGATTCGTTCCGTTCCTAAGTTGTATATTTGATACATGAATCATTTAATGTTAGGTAGGCAGTGAGCTCATTCATCGTACTATGTAGTAATAACAAAAAACAAAAAATATATATATAAAAATACACTATGCTCGAATTTGCTTTAGAGTTTAAAACTGTCTGCCTAAAGTCAAATAGTTTGAAAATGGTAGGCTCCATAACGTTATCTAAGAGAGGTCTCCCCGATTTTATTAAAACCGTGAAACAACTGAATATTCAACAGTTTCCAAGAGGATTTATCTAAAGTTGACTGGATCATAAGTCTTAAAATAAACGATGGATTATAAAATTCGAGTCGGTCGGGTCTTTCGTGACGATGGACTTCATTTATTTTATCTCTGAATCGTGAATTGAATTGTGAATTATTGTAACAATGTAACACTTTATCTTCATAGGCTACGAATACTTAAATTCATTGGTAGTTGGAGTAATTATGGATAGATACCGCCGCTCATATTGAGGCAAGAAATTGATGACTTATATGGCGGTTGGCTCACTCTTCATACCAAAACATCTGACTTTTTAACTGTAGCGATAGGCAGGAAAGTGATACTTATGAACTGTGACAACAATTTATATAATGTAAGGCCATGAGTTATATCTAGCAAATAAAAGGACAGAAATAATTTTGGCACAGAAATCATACATAGTTTTATCCTATTATTTGACATGATGACGTAATAATCAATTTGAATATTTTTTTTGATAATGTTTTATTTACCTGCAACACCCTTAGTCTTAGTACCAAAGCAAAAGGGTAGGTTGTTGATTGATGGAAGAATGTTCCTTCTCTTTCTCCTGTCAGTGGAGCAGCGGATTCCTTCCGCCGCGACAGAGCTGTCTGCAAGAAAAAAAGGTAAAATTTTTAATTACATATGTATTACAAAATGAGCAGAGTACAGATTTTTGTAAGCAAATACACTACAATAAGTAAAAAAATTCACGTCAATTATAATTAAAGCTGTCATAGGTTATATATTTTTGATTTCGTTGGGAAATAGACTATGCAAGAATCTTCCTATACAGAGCATGCCATGGATCATTAAAATTAATCAGAATTTTAGCTAATACTGCAATTTGAAATAAGACTCGTCACTGATTGCATACAAAGGTCCATTAACGATGGTCACCGCTTTTCCTAGTTCTATGGCAGAGATATATAAGATAGGATTGTTTTATCTTTGAAATAGTAATACGTTGGCCCATGTCGTCGGCAAAATCAGGAGATTGGGCCTGGACGTGGCGCTCAGTAAATCCGAGGCCATGTGGTTCCACAGGCCCCGGAGAGTGCCACCTATCGATGCCCATATCGTGGTTGGAGGCGTCCGTATCGGGGTCGGGGTGCAGTTGAAGTACCTCGGCCTCATCCTGGACAGTCGTTGGACCTTCCGTGCTCACTTTCAGAACCTGGTCCCTCGTTTGTTGGGAGTGGCCGGTGCGTTAAGCCGGCTTCTGCCCAACGTCGGGGGGCCTGACCAGGTGACGCGCCGTCTCTACACGAGGGTGGTGCGATCAATGGCCCTATACGGGGCACCTGTGTGGGGCCAGTCCCTGGCCGCGGGGGTGGCTAAGCTGCTGCAACGGCCGCAACGCACCATCGCAGTCAGGGTCATCCGTGGTTATCGCACCATCTCCTTTGAGGCGGCGTGTGTACTGGCTGGGACGCCGCCTTGGATTCTGGAAGCGGAGGCGCTCGCTATCTACCGCCGCTGACTATCAGTGGCGGGCTGACCTTCGTGCCCGGGGCGTGGCGCGTCCCAGCCCCAGTGTGGTCAGAGCGCGGAGGGCCCAATCTCGGCGGTCCGTGCTGGAGTCATGGTCCAGACGGCTGGCTGATCCTTCAGCTGGTCGTAGGACCGTCGAGGCGATTCGCCCGGTCCTGGTGGATTGGGTGAATCGTGACAGAGGACGCCTCACTTTCCGGCTCACGCAGGTGCTCACTGGGCATGGTTGCTTCGGTGAGTTCCTGGACCGGATCGGAGCCGAGCCGACGGCAGAGTGCCACCATTGTGGTTGCGACTTGGACACGGCAGAGCACACGCTCGCTGCCTGCCCCGCATGGGAGGGGTGGCGCCGTGTCCTCGTCGCAAAAATAGGAAATGACTTGTCGTTGCCGAGTGTTGTGGCATCGATGCTCGGCGACGACGAGTCGTGGAAGGCGATGCTCGACTTCTGCGAGTGCACCATCTCGTAGAAGGAGGCGGCGTGGCGCGTGAGAGACGCACAATCCCGCCGCCGTCGAGCGGAGGCCAGGGAGGCGGATCTCGCCCAAGCCCTGGCTCTCTAAGTGTTTCGGGTCCCCCTCACATGTCGGTCTGGGGACCGGCGAGCGGGGCCTAAGAAGACGACGTGCAAGCTGCTCTGCACGCGTTTTACGCAAGAGCATCCGGGTGATGGAAAGCCGGCTATCCTCGACCCACGCTGGTTCTGGTCCAGCGGGGTATTCCGTAGGATAGCTCACTCTAACCGGCGCCATCTAGGCGGGCTTCGGATAGCCTGCCGACCGAGAGGGTTGGTGGTCGTGTCGCCGACGACCGCCGGTCCGGCGTCCCGAGGGGGAGGTTGATGGGAGAGATGTTTTGAAGTCGTCGTGGCCTAAAGGATAAGACGTCCGGTGCATTCGTATCGAGCGATGCACGGGTGTTCGAATCTCGCTGGCGGGTACCAATTTTTCTAATGAAATACGTACTCAACAAATGTTCACGATTGACTTCCACAGTGAAGGAATAACATCGTGCAATAAAAATCAAACCATCAAAATTATAATTTGCGTAATTACTGGTGGTAGGACCTCTTGTGGACGGGTGGGTGCCACCGCCCCGCCTATTTCTGCCGTGAAGCAGTAATGCGTTTCGGTTTGAAGGGTGGGGCAGCCGTTGTGACTATACTGAGACCTTAGAACTATATCTCAAGGTGTGTGGCGCATTTACGTTGTAGATGTCTATGGGCTCCAGTAACCACTTGGCACCAGGTGGGCTGTGAGCTCGTCCACACATATAAGCAATAAAAAATAAAAAAAATATGCTCCGCACTAAACGCTTCACTTTCCCCCTCTGCCTCTTCATGAGTTCTGTCTCATGCGAGGTTTGGACGTTGGTTGTTGAGCGACAGGAGGTTTGAGTCAGTTCGACTCTGACGTGCCCCGCCCTCCGTCCCCAGTGGAGAGCGGAAGTCCGGCGATTTCCTCCTGACCAAAAAAAAAAAAAAAGATAGTGGCATTCGTGTCACTGGGTTCCGAACAAAGTAGACAGTCGCATGACATCAAAATGTTCTGGTAGGGCGTCTTGGGAGGTATCACCATTCTGCCGATCTCTTATCTCAAGGTAGTTTCTCAAGGTAGGCTTTCACGTTATGATGTCTATGACCCTCGGTAAACATTTAACACCATGCGGGCAGAGAGTTCGTTGACCCATCTGAGCAATATCAAAAAAGACCGTGAGCATTCTAGAAGATAAGTAGATAGTAGATAATATACTTTATTGCACACCAAAATACAACATTAAAAAAAACAATCAACCAGCAGATATATTTGTACTACAGTAGGCGGTAAAAAATATTTCAAAACAACTTTACGTTATGAATCCAATAAAAAATCCAACTTGACGATCAGTTCTTCCAAAAACATTCTTAGTAACCCTCAGTACCTGCCAGTACCAGGATTTTCAACGCATGCGTACCATTAGACTTTTACACTTACAAAAACGACTGTTTCTCAACATGCTTGTTATTCGTGCGTCCCTAAACCATTCATCCTATTGCAATGTGACTTGTTGCAGCTGTTCTTGACATTTTAAAGAAGGAGTTATGGAAATATTTAACAGAAACATAAACAAACAGAAATGGCCGTTCGAAGTTAGGAGGGAATGATCGTTTACGTGTTTGCCGGCCTAATGTATAACACGAAATCAGGTTAAAGTTTAACCGCGATGTGACAGTATCTAATTTTCATGACGTAATTTGGTTCTTTATTAAAAAAGAAAATATAGTGTTTTCGGAGTGTTTCATTGGATGTTTTGTGTAATAAAAAAACGAAAATGAGTGATTCTGATAGTGAAAATGAAAAGGGTAAAGGCGTTGATGATAAAGACAGGGATAGTTCGGAATCAAGTGACGATGATGAGTTCACAATGGAAGATTCAGAGACGCCGAAAGATGGTAAGCAGCTTTGTAACTCATTTAGTTTTGTGGTTGAAGAGCAAGTGGTTCTAAAAGAAATCGCCACCAATGACATTAACACTGACAAAACATACAAAGAGTCATTGAAACCTTTGGAGACACAACGATTACTCTCCGTGAACTGTATAGAATGTTACTCTGAATTTTTTATTTATTTAAGTCCACTTATTTCTCTACACTATCTCCAACTAAAGCGAAGCTCTGTTTGTTAGATAGCTTTGACCTGTCCATAAAACCACGAAAAAGAAGATTCATCTTTCGGGATAGAAAATGTAAACAAAAACGATTTCTTTAAACTGGTAGCATCCGGCATTGGAATGAACTCCCCTCCACACTGTTTCCCAAACCCTATGGCACGTCATTCTTCAAACTAGGCTTAGAGGAGATTCTCAGCAGTAGATAGCGACTTGACTGTGCCCCTGGCAATGTTGATGACCATGAGCAAAAGTGACTACTTATCATCAGATACGCCGTACGCTTTTCTACGAACAAAGGCAATACATAAACTAAGGGGATAGATATAACTACTTATTCTTATTCTCTTAAGACTTTTGTGATTGTGTGAAGTGATTTTATGACCTGGTAACTAAGACCATGCTATTATATATATTATTATTATATACCATGTCTTATTTTAATTTATATTCTTATTTTTATGAAAAATGTTAATATGGAGTGAAATGAAATGAAAATGATTAATTTGAGACGTTAATCAACTGGGATGAAATTAAATGAAATGAGATGATATGGAATGAAATATAATCTTAGTAAAATGGTGGTCATTTACTAAGATTTTTTCAGTGGACTTTTTGGAGGATCCCGAGAAGTTGCGTCCAGCTGCTTTGTTTCATTTGCCCACATTTGTGCACTTTCACAGATTCTAAACAGTTAAAAAACCACCGTTATTACACATTTAAACCTGAAGAAACACTAAATAGGCAAAATAAAACAAATCGCACAACTTCACCCCTCGCGTTCCCGCCAAAAAGTCCTTAAATATCTATATTTTGTATAATTAGATAGATAGAAAATATAGATATACAAAAATTAAAGAATTGTTTTTTTTTTTGTGATAATATATATAACCTAATAAACGAATAAAAATAATAATTATTTAGGTAAAGCTACTTATAAATAGAAAATCTGCGTTAGTTTTAAAAAATTTGAAGATTAACTTATTAAATTAAAGAATTCTGTACATAATTAGTGGGTCATGATTATATACGATTTGTTTCTATTTATTTATTTAAAATCGCAGCTTATATTTTTTTGACGCAAGTTATATATAATATGGTAGGTAGTCGTAAAATAGCATCGGTCTAGAGATTTCGAGTTGCTGTACGTATTCATACACTGCGTGCTCACAAAATCACAAAATATATTATCAAACTGCTAAAACAAAGGATTTTCAATTTTTTTTTTCTCAAACAGTTATAGTCCCAGTTTTTTGTAGTGCACTACAATTCATATGCACTAGATATATGAAAAAAGTAATAAACCTCACGATGGTATCATTCAAACTATAATAGTATAAAGTAGTTAAAAGCTCAAAAGCCAAGTCATAATATTTCGTAAATTACTTTAACGAACATTTTAAGTTATACGAAAGGGAAAGCTTTTAGCTGAGATGCGATAGTTTAATTTAGAAGCAGCTTAACTTTTGTCATTTGCAAGCGAGTGGAATTCGTTAATTTAATTTACTAAGTTTGCTTAAAGTTATTTCTATGAGTCCATTGTGTTGGTCTAATGTGTAAGATGACCGATGCTTCGTTTTGACTAGACTAATATTTTTCTAAATCATTATGCGTATGATGGTACGAAACTTTTTCACTGTGAAGGTACATCGTGTAAAATTTAATCTTTTTTTTTATTGCTTAGATGGGTGGACGAGCTCACAGCCCACCTGGTGTTAAGTGGTTACTAGAGCCCATAGACATCTACAACGTAAATGCGCCACCCATCTTGAGATATAAGTTCTAAGGTCTCAAGTATAGTTACAACGGCTGCCCTACCCTTCAAACCGAAACGAATTACTGCTTCACGGCAGAAATAGGCAGGGTGGTGGTACCTACCCGCGCGGACTCACAAGAGGTCCTACCACCAGTAATCATGAAAATTATAATTTTGCGGGTTTGATTTTTATTACACGATGTTATTCCTTCACTGTGGAAGTCTTTTTTTTTTTATGATTGAGAGATTACTGGTGGCCCGAAGGCCTTTCCAGTTTCACCAGGACAGGTGGGCGAGCAAAGGCTCAGCCAGGAGGGGTGGGATTTGACTGTCTGTGGAAGTCAATCGTGAATCGTTGTTGAGTACATATTTCATTGGAAAAATTGGTACCCGCCTGCGGGATTCGAACACAGATGCATCGCTTCAACACGAATGCACCGGACGTCTTATCTTTTAGGCTACGGCGACTTCATATAATCTGATAAAAAATTGCATGTTAATTGGTAACAGTACTTACTTATATCGATTTCTTCGATCCTGATTATGTTTTGTGTACGTTGTTCGATGCGAGATATGAGCAAATTTATGTAATCATATTATAATTTTGGGAAATTAAATGCTCTTATTTGGGAAACTTATTAAAGAGAAAATGCCTCAACGTATTATGATGTGCTTATTTCCAAATCTTGTTAAAAGAGCGTCTTAAAAAAAAGGAAACTATGTACTTATTTAATAGGGATTTCTAAATGTTTTTAGTAAAAATGTAGAGTTGGAGTCCGAGTTCCCCTGGTGTTATGCCTCTAAACTATAATAGTACCTTCATAGTTCAATTGCTGTTGAAATAAGTTGTATGGTGGAATCTACTCCATTGGGTTTATGATACCAATAAAATATTAAATATACAAATAATTGTTATGAACAGAGTTCCAGTTTAGTTTTCTTTTGTAAACCTTCATGAATAAACGTCACACAAATTGACATAAATATCAAATTACGACATTAAATTAGAAACATTTTTATTTCAGTCGAAACCAAAGAGCCAAGGCAAGATAATATGTTATCGCAGCAACCACAACCACGAAGAAAACGATTCATACCCAAATATGAAGTAGAAGGAGTATTCAAAGTTGTTCTAGGCGAAGAAACACAGAGTCAAATCGAAATGGTCGTAGGAACACATGTAAATGCTCAATATCCTTGGAGGGAAGTCAATAAGTCCAAAATATTAGAGACAATCGATATTGGTGGTGAACTATCAGAATTTTATTCTTTGAAACAACAAATAGAAGCGTATGATAGTGAAACAGTTTTTATGGGGTACATTGCTGATGAATCAAACGACGTTGATGAATTCTATGTGTGCCTTACAAAAGACGCAAGAGATCATTGTAAGCAGCAATCTGATAAATTTATAAGGAGACAGGAGAAGAAACTAGAAAAGGCTGTTCAAAAGAAACCAAGGCCTTGGAAAAGTTTTGGAAGTGAAGCGGAAATTAAGGGGCTCGTTCCAATCAATACACGACCTCTAATGGAAATGGAAGTAAAGGCAAAGTTTCCTACTGTTTATCAACCTGATAAATTTCGCATTCGTGATACAAGTTCAGTTCGTGATGGTTATATCGAGCTGACACCTTATCGGCAGAAGTTTAATAATGTTTTTAAGCGTAGAATAGATTGTGGTTCTCAAGCAGCGCCTGCAAAGATTAATAGGGAAGCTCAAACCGAGTTAAGGTATCCTCAAAATATGTGGACTCAATCTATAGCTGATGCTCTAAGTCAAGTAGATGATGTAGAGGCTGGTGGCGATACAGGACAAACGTCACCAACTAAAAATAAAGAAGAAAGTTCTGAGGAGGACGAAGCGGAGACCAAACAGGCTCCAGATGAAGTAGGACTGGCAGCGTACAGAGCTGCGTTGAAACGTATGCGACGACCGTCTTATATCAAAATGATTAATAATTTTGTGACCAAGAAGTGTGAAGAAATGGACACGATAGTAGAACTCAATACAGTGATGGACATGTACTGCAATGATTATCCAAATTTAATAGTTCAAAAAACAACCGATATTTATAATTCGATGATATTTGAAGAATACGTTTGTTTCACTGACGTCAGAGCGAAAGACAAATATATTGCTAGTGCAGTATTTCACCCTATGTGGTCAGGTATTGTTGCGATTTGCTACGCCGATGGTTCGCCCTCCGTTATGAAAACGATAAGCACGCGTCAAGATCCAATACAAAGAGCTGTTTACGGAATGAACCCAGTCATGATATGGAGTCATATTGATAGTTTAATACCAAAACTGTATTTAGAATCGCCTCGAGAGGTGAAAGTTTTGTCTTTTTGTCCGTTTGATGAAAACATTCTTGTAGGTGGTTTAATTAATGGTCAAGTTGTAATATGGGATATAACGAACAGGCTTGATAATGTTGAAAAGATTGAAGTTTTAAGCGAGACTAGAGAAAAGTATCGTATAGCAATGAATGCTCATATGGGTTGGATGAAAAATATACGAGACGATTCTGTGGTACAAAGCACTGCTCTAAGTAATTTGATGACAAGTCATTATGGATCTGTCACAGCAATTAAATGGCTCTCTCCCAACTTTAATATAACTGCCACAGGGAAATTTGAGGTAAATGAAAAGGAAAAGAAGACTTTTATGTTTCTAAGTGGATCTGACGATGGTAACATTTTGATTTGGAGTTTATCAGTACAAAATATAAGTCAATTTGATGCTAAAAAAATTAAAAAGTCTAAAAGAGTTCCAAAACGGCCGTCTGGCTTATTAGTAGATGTTTCTCCGTATAAAATTTTGGATAGAAATTTGCAGCCGTTGTACAAATTAATACTTGGTGTCGCAGGTCAACCCGAAATATTGCCTGTGCAAAGTTTCGGATTGAATGCCCCAATTATAAACTACATTCACACTCCAAGAAACACAGGTAGCGGTAGAAAGTATTTTACATGTAAAATCGTGCCTCAAACTGAAGCAGACATAAATACTATCGTATATAGTGGTTCACAGCACGGAGAGATAAGACGCATTCAATGGGAAGGCCACGAGTTTAATACAGGGGAGGTTGTGAATTCAGAATATTGTGATATTAAATTTTCTTGTACTCTTCACGATGGAATAATAACGTGTACACAGAAAAATCCTTTTATCAGTGGTATAACGGTGACAGTCGGTGGTAAAATTTTCGCAATTTGGTCTGATAATCTCATGGAACGACCGCTATTCTGGAAGAAAAGGCCGTATCGGTTGACAGATGCCGCCTGGTCTCTGTATAAGCCAAGTTTGCTATTTTTAACCACTTACGAAGGTGAACTCGAGACTTGGGATTTACTTATAAGGAGCGATCAACCGATTTCGATACAGACCCTTTCTGGAAATATGTTGACAGGAGTTAGTCTTCATACTCTGCCATTGGCTAAGAATATAATAGGCGTGAGTGACGTAAACGGGTCATTTCGAATGTTTTTAGTACCGCCTATATTTATGATTGAAAACCCGACCTACAAATCTCGAATGGAAAACATGATGAGTAGAGAATTAAAAGTAATGACGTCATTTATAGAGTGGCAAGACAAATGGATGAAGAATAATCCGCACATTCTTCTAGAAATGAAAAGGAAAGAAGGTGCTTTGCTAGCTGAAAAAGAAGAAGAAAAAAAGAGACTTAGAGAAGAAGAACAAAATAAACTAGAAGAAGAGGCAGAAGCGAGGAGGCTAGCAAAATTAAAAGTTGTCGGCCCAGAGGAAAGGTGGCAGAAGATTATCCAAAAGTTGATAGAAAGAACTATAGCTGTCAAAAAGAGGATAAATCGAGCTGAATTGATTGAACACGAAAAACCCTTACGTGAACTAGAAGCTCAAAGATTAGAAAAAGAAAGACGAATGCTAGAAATAATGAAAAATCAAAAAACGATATTTAATGACACTGTCGCGATATTATTTCCCGAAGCGATAAAGAAGAAAGAAAAAGTAAAGAAGAGTTTACTCTCTGACGATAAAGAATCTTTAAAAAGAGAGTATCTTGAAGATTATGAAAATCTAAAAAGCTTTGCTCACAAAATGGTGAAAGAAAATCCTTATAAAATACCATTCTCTTGGGAGGCGACTATAGCTGAAGGAAAAGAGAGACGGCAAGCATTAAATGCTCACGAAGACTTTATTAAAATGCACAAGAAAAGAATCGAAGAAGATGGTACGGAGTCTATTGTTATGCTTTCTCAGAACAAAGCAGACGAGTCAAATGCTACGGAAGAAATTGATAAACAAATGGACGATATTTCCAGCGTCTTAGTTGAATAGGATTGTAGGATTATTGTTTTTTATTGTCAGTAAAAATTCTGAATAAATGAAGTTTCATTTTAATTTTTATTTATATATTTTACTGGTAGTATTATTTTAATGATATATGTAGATGTTGATCATTCTTCTGAAGTGGCGAAGAAGACAGATGGCATACTAAACAAATATTTGAGCCAATCCGAACAGTGATATAGACGAGAAAAAGTTGAAGATTTATGTATTTTGCATTAATGTTTTTTTTATATCGGACAAAAAAGCATCTCCGTCGTTGAAATATATGTATATCCAACACAAATACTACGAGGTCTTGTACTATTTATTATGTGTATCAATCAAAGCGATAAACACTGTCTGGCTGTACATACAATATTAGAATAAGAATAATAAGAAAAAAACAATAAAATTATACACTGTGCTATATTTTTATGAAAAATCTATCAAAACACCGAGCTTAGTGTGTCAAGATGCGCTTCTACAGAAGGTGGATCTCTCTTGATTCACCGGAGCCTCTCACTTCTAGCCACGTAGCCGTCACAATATCACCGACGTTGCGAGTGACTAGTGACAAGATTAAAGCTTTAGTTCCTTTAATAAAATGAACAAAACTATACAAATGTTATTAATTTATCCAAAAGTCAATAGATGTACGTCTTAGCGTATGGTCGATATGTAGACGGATGGATATGTGAGAGTTGGGCGGCACCAGTGCCACCAAAGCGTGTTCTTCGACTGGTGGTTCCATAACCAAGAATGGTCCTTTCAACAAGGCTTGGCAACGGGACAGAATTCTTGATCCACAGAAGTGTAGCTGGAAAAATAACGAGCACAGAATTGAAGACTGACCATCGTATACTCCCGATCTTAATTCGTTTGATAATGCTTTATTTCTCATTCAGGATCATACCCCATGATAATTTGGAGATCCTAATTGTTATCCCATGATGAAAGTGCGCATTTCAATCGATAGTTGGTCACTATGTTTAAATTAATTGTATTAAAAGAGAGATAATTTTGATTGATTGAAGATATGTATATTTTTAAAATGCTATTACGATTGCTATTATATTATATGAACTAATAAACACAAGAATAATATTTTTACATGAAAGAAAGAAAAAAAAATGTTTTTCTCATAGCAATTTCATTTATGGCATGATTAAGTAGATGAAAATAATTATTACGTAATTACCTCGAGCTTTCTCGACGTTCAAAGCGTTCATTATAATCCTTTCTTAAGGTCTAAATGCAAAGGTGTTCCTGGCATTCAATAAGGATTATGTTATTTCATCATAGCATATGCTTACAATAATTAAGAAAAGATCAGGGAATTATTTCGCTTAGTTAGTTAGTAGTCTTTTCGTTAGTAAGACTATTTCTGTTGTATAGTAAACAGTAGCTTTATTTTCTTAATATCGTAGATTTATTGGTCGTCGTGGCCTAAAGGATAAGACGTCCGGTGCATTCGTGTTGAACGATGCACTGCTGTTCGAATCTCAGGCGGGTACCAATTTTTCTAATGAAATACGTACTCAACAAATGTTCACGATTGACTTCCACGGTGAAGGAATAACATCGTTTAATAAAAATGAAACCCGCGAAAATTCTAATTTGCGTAATTACTGGTGGTAGGACCTCTTGTGAGTCCGCGCGGGTAGGTACCACCACCCTGCCTATTTCTGCCGTGAAGCAGTAATGCGTTTCGGTTTGAAGGGTGGGGCAGCCGTTGTAACTATACTTGAGACCTTAGAACTTATATCTCAAGGTGGGTGGCGCATTTACGTTGTAGATGTCTATGGGCTCTAGTAACCACTTAACACCAGGTGGGTTGTGAGATCGTCCACCCATCTAAACAATGTAAGGGAAATTTAACAAAAAAACCGGGCTATTGGAACATATTTGACGAGTTATGTGGTGTTTTCTTGCTTAGGTAGTCCTTTTGAATCACGTGTGTAAATTGATGCCGGTAATTTTAATAGATTGTCCTTAAGGTGATATAAACGTAATTCCTGCCTAGATTTATTAGCTACATTACATGTACATTACATGTAATGTATATTAGTCGTTTCTTAGTAATATGACTCTGCCATATGAACAGGGCTAAATAACGGAAAGGTATTTTTTAATCTCATTTACATTTCATCGTGCATGCGATGTATTCAAATTCATAATTGCTTATCTATATTAATATATAAATATAAAGTGGTTTTTACGGATGTTCCGTTATAACTACTGAACCATGCATCCGGTTGACTTGAAACTTGATATCCATGTAGAAAATACATGTACATAATGGATAGGCTAATATTTATATGAGTGTTGGACTCCCTACACCAGTTGCGGGGGCTTGATGATGAGAATCTTTGTGGGGGTGAGAAATAATAATGTTAATTTTAAATGCCCAGCGAAGCGGACGGGTACAGCTAGTTTAAAAATAAATCTGTTTATGCAAATGGTTATTTTATTGACAGCGAGTTCGCTGTCAGGCAACTAGGTGACGAATAAACAGATTAAATCAAAAAACGTTAAAGGATTAAGATTGTTCGATTTTTTGTTTTTCATTTTGTTCGCGTAACCCCAAAATGTGGCTTTTAGAAGAGTCGGCATCTTCGCGATCGAAGCTCCATTCACCCAATCCGGCTAGTCATTCTTAAGTAATATTTTATAAGTTCAGTAATTAGTTAGAAGCTAAGTATGGCTCGGTCGTTGGACGAAATATTTCATCATTACAAAGATTTAAGGTTACAGAAATGATAAATGGCCGAACCGGGGATTTTACGTGAGGAAAGCTTTATTCGTATTCTATTTTAATGCAGATTGAGGTATTCATAATAAATGTAATGAAATCGTAAATGGAATATTCGTGAAAGGAACGTAATGCCGTTGATTAAGGTTACGTCTGAGTTCGGTTTTTGTTCAAAATGCTATTGATTGTATTAGACGATTTCACTCTTGACTGATTTTATTTCTGATGTCGGTATATAGGCATGAATTAATGTGCTACAGTATTGTAAGATATTGGAAGTGACACACACGAAAAGTAGCATTTATAAGTCAGTTAAATATTTTTTGTACGTACGTACGTACGGCATGAATATCTTTTAGTTTTACTTCAGCCTCGGAAAAGATTATTGCGCCAGTATCTTTGATATCGCCATTGTCTCTGGGTTTCCCAAACAATGAATCCGGCCTAATCGTTACTGGTGGTAGGACCTCTTGTGAGTCCGCACGGGTAGGTACCACCGCCCTGCCTATTTCTGCCGTGAAGCAGTAATATCTTTCGGCTTGAAGGGTGGGGTAGCCGTTGCAAATATACTTAGAACTTATATCTCAGGGTGGGTGGCGCATTTATGTTGTAGATGTCTATGGGCTCCAGTAACCACTTAGCACCAGATGGGCTGTGAGCTCGTCCATCCATCTAAGCAAAAAAAAAAAAGATTACCTGCGACCCTTTATAGAGTCATGAGTGTTATAATATTTAAAATATTGTTGTACCGGTACAACGAACGCATATCAAAAGAACTAGTATTATCGGGAATGTTCTGGAAAATTCTGGATATACTCGACACCTCTTTAATAACGTGTCAAAAAAAAATTATGAATAACACAAAAAATTATTAACTACTTACAACATTTAGCTCTTCCATATCGTCACAGTTAAAGGGCGGGGTGCATAGTTTTCGCTTCATAAGTACTACGTGTCGTACTTCTGTAACGCTTCACGGGATGACATTCAGCGTCGAAGAGTTTATCTGGAAAAAAGAACGATAATAAATAATTGTTAGTTTAAGAAACACAATAGCATATAAACAATGCAACTAAGACTTTAATTCAAGTCTTCCTTGAATATTAGGTGGATCAAATTGGGAAGAGTAAAAAAAGCATTAAAATGACATTTAACTTAGTTTATTTATGGATATATCTAGGGTACTTCTAGCTTGTTTGATTCTGCAGCGAAGTATGATGACTTGAGTATTTAGTTTTCGACTTGTTTTGTTGGTTATTCAGTAGTTTTTGAACCTAATTATATATAATACTAGCTTTTGCCCGCGACTTCGTCCGCGTGGAATAGTTACTTTGGCATAACGCTACATTTTACCCGCGACTTCATTTACAGTACTCAATATTTGGAACTTCATTACTGAACCGGTAGATTGCGATGAAGAAGCTAGATTTTGAAATTTTTTGACAAACAACTTTTTAGTTTTTCGTAAAAAAGATTTTTTTTCTTAATAAAAGTATCCTATGTTGCTTCTAGTACCTCCAAGAATATGTGTACAAAGTTTCATGATGATCGGTTGAGTAGTTTTCGCGTGAAAGCGTAACAAACAAACTTACATTCACATTTAATATTATTAGGGATATCGCCATGTTGTTGTATCAGTTGTCTTTTGTTTTATAGCTGTTGCGTTGTGGTAAATAAGCGTGGACTGTATTTATTATTTTGAGATATTTATTTGTCCTTTATATTATTATGACAAATTAAAGACTAAATATAAGAGAAATATAAAATTGTTGCGTTGCTCTTGGCGGCTAGACTCGAAAGAGGAACAGTGTCATGGCGGACGTCGCTCGCTGACATTTTGACGTTCAGAAACTGAAAAATAGCAAATAAATTTGTTTAAGTAGTTGCTCAGGATGAATTCTCTTTTGAATTAAAATTCTAAACTGGTTTTATTCACAGTATGCCTAAAATTTGATTTTCAATCTAACACTTGAACTTTAAGTTAACAAATATCAATCGCCGTTGTATCTGTTTTGAGTGAATCAGCTAAAGATAAAAGAAAAACCTTAATGTAGTATGTAGAAAAATTCTTTTGCTGGTGGTAAGGCGTCTTTTGAGCCTGCATATAGATAAACACCACCACTATATCTGGTGCGAAGCAGTAATGTGTTCTAAAAGGCAAGAGACTCGTTATTACCATTTGATTGAGTCTTAGACAACGTGTCTCAAAGTGAGTATTCCCATTTGTCAGCATCATGTGGGTCGTAAACTGGTACACCCATCTGTGCGGCAAAAAGAAATTATGGCCCTACTGAACTAACGTAGGTCGTTATATCTTCAATGAGAACTAATAAAAATCCAGTTTTATTGTCGACTCCGATTACGTTCCTGTTATAAAAGCTGATTCCTATATCGCCCATACAGGGTGTGTAATTTTTTTTCCAGAAAACGTAACAGCATTAAACCACCCTAAAGTAAGCAGAGTATTGTTATCTATCTTCTACTTCATATATATATATATATATATATATATAAATGAATTGCTGTTCGTTAGTCTCGCTAAAACTCAAGAACGGCTGGACCGATTTGGCTAATTTTGGTCTTGAATTATTTGTGGAAGTCCACAGCAGGTTTTAAACGTAGATAAATATGAAAATGTTCGGAATTAAATAAAAATAACATTTTTGTTTTTCGTTTGATGTGTCCCCCGTCGGACGGATTCTTTTGTTAGTTTTAAGTTTATTTTATACAAAAGTTTGGGTCTTTTATTATTATCGATTGAGGCAGTACGAAGTGTGCCGGGTCAGCTAGTAATTTACTATGTTTATATTTCGCGCAACGAAAAACGAAGTTCGATAACGGACGCTCTCTCAATTCGACGTACATCGCGCGATCAGCTGATTTTCAATTAATACAATTGAAAATCAGCTGATCGCGCGATGTAAAAAAATCATTTTGAGTATCTCGCTGATGGATTTAAGTAGTTACCGATGATCATAGACCCCACAGCATGAATACCGCCTTGAGGTTTGCGATCAAAGTCTCAATTGTTTTGTCTATCGGCTGTCTCAACCCTCAAACCGTGACTCATGACTACTTGAAACAAAAAAAATTGCATAATTGGCGACGACCTCACACTACGCCCAGCAACGAGTACCTAATAACTAGTGGTACCGCAGTAGTCGAAATTAGATTATAATTAATTGAAATTATAAGTTTGAACATTATTGTGGTTCTATTGTCAAAGACTTCATAATCGTCAAATACTTCTATAATCACAAATTTCGCCTAGACTGCACTATAGATAAATAAATAATATTAACCTATTCTCAATTTGACCACAGACTATAAACCTATAAACAATAACAAAATATGACAATAAACATAGAGTATATAATTACTAGGTATATGGTGTGTATCAAATACACGGAAGTGTGTGTAATTTTTTTAATAGATTTATTGTATTATATAAAAAAAATAGCATTCTGCACTCCTTCACTAGATTCTCTATAAGTGTGGGAAATTTCATACTCCTCCGTCCACGCAATTTTTGTAAAAAGGAGTACAAAGTTTTTGCTTCACGTGTTAATATATAGATAATGGAAGTCGTTTTTGAATTATCGATACCTGTTCTGAGAATCGAACTCCGGCATAGTCGCATAGCTTTGTACTTAACGATTTTCATACCAATACACCCTGTATATAGAATTTGATATGATCGTATGCTACACATGTTTATGGCGATTTGTCTTTAGTTCGTGCGTAGGTTATTAAGAACGAGGGCGCGGGATTTATGGGGCCGCGCCTCAAGAAATCCAGGTGCCTTGGTGCGTTTTTTTTTTTGTGATGATTTCACAAATCGTAAACACGACTTTAATAATGATAATATTCACTTTCAGTTTTTATTAAGCCAGAGTTTGAAAATTAAAATAATAAGCTTTTTTTTTTTTAAGAAAATTTATATGACGCTGTAATTTAAAAGAGAATTTGTTTATTTTATTACTTAGATAGGTGCACGAGCTCACGGCCCACCTGGTGTTAAGTAGTTCCCGGAGCCCATAGATATCTGTAACGTAAATGCCACCACCCACCATGAGGGATGAGTTCTAAGGTCTCAGTTTTTATAGTGCAACGGCTGCCCACCATTCAAACCGAAACGCATTACTGCTTCACGGCAGAAATAGGCAGGGCAGTGGTACCTACCCGTGCGGACTCACAAGACGTCCTACCACCAGTAGTTTCTTTTAATAACCTTCAGAAATTGTGGTATACCGTCACGTGGTCCATATTACCGCTACTGATAAATGTAGATACGAAATACAACAATAATGTTTTCATTGGCTTCGTACGAGATCAAAACTCTTCTTGCCTGAAGCGGCTGGTGGCTGTCCCGGTTTCCAGAAACTACGATTAAAAGTTTGTAAGTCACAGACTGACGTTTCATTTTTAATTTATTTGTAGATATGTAACTCTCATGGAAACCAAATGCTACTTAAATAAAATAAAATAAAAATGTTTATTTTTCTGGACATTGATTATTTTGATGCACAATTCAATTAAACCACTCTCTGAAGATAATAATAATATAGCGTATTTTATAAGAAAACACAATAATATATAAATAAATATGCATAATGTATTCATACATTTTTTTTATTGCTTAGGTGGGTGGATGAGCTCACAGCCCACCTGGTGTTAAGTGGTAATGCGCCACCCACCTTGAGATATAAGTTCTAAGATCTCAGTATAGTAAAATTTCATACATAAGTATATTCCGGTAAAGTATATTTCAGTAGAACTTCGACCTCTAAGTATCAAGAAAAATAACAGCTCATCGGTAATTAACTAACCACAATTAGCCTGTTGATTTTTAGAAGTAAGTTGGAAGAATAATATTTTTGACACGATTTGATTAGCTTGAATTAGATATATCTATGTAAAGGATATCTCTCAAAGTTACTTTCAAGGATTTCCAAATGTGCGAATAATTTCAAAATTCTTTTTTCTTTGTTTTTACTGGTGGTAGGACGACTTGTTAGTCCGCACGGGTAGGTACCACCACCCTGCCCATTTCTGTCGTGAAGCAGTAATGCGTTTCGGTTTGAAGGGCAGGGCAGCCGTGGATGGCGGCATTTTCGTTGTAGATGACTATGGGCTCCGGTAACCACTTAACACCAGGTGGGCCGTGGGCTCGTCCACTCATTTAAGCGATAAAAAAAACGCACTAGTATAATATCTTCAGTTCGAAAATTGTAGCCATTGTATAAAGAATAGTAACTTCTTCTTATCTGCTCATTTCGAGTGGCAATATTCACTTTGCGTTATCAATGGTCTCTGATAGCCACTTAACACCGGATGGATCGTATGCTAGTCTAATCTAATGCAAACAAAGTTTTAAACGAAATCCCTAATCGAATGTAAATATGGCTTGATTCTGTCCATGGCATTGCTGACGTCTATGGGCGACGGTAACCACTCACCATCAGGTGGGCTGTGTGTTCGTCTATCTACATGGAGTATAAAAAAATAAAATATTTATCTATATTATAGATATTATCTATTTTAAAGATTCTTTTTCACACGTCTAGTTTTTGAAATAGCCACTTTGAAATCCTGACAGTTTTTATGATAGCGTTACGTCTTGAACGGAGACCTATAAATCTAGCCTTTTGTTCTTACAAAGCTATTCGTGAATCAAGACTGAAAATGACAATTCATGACTGGAAAAAAATGTATCAGGGAGCTATTTCTGAGGAGATAATGTATTTCTACTCTATAAAATATACTATACAATGGAGATTTTGACTTCATGTTTTAATGTGTTTGATTTGGAAGGCTTTAGAGGAAGAGGTAGACCTAAGAAAAAATGCATGGATTGTGTGGAAGACGACACGTGTTAAGGGGGAGTGAGCGGAGAGATGGTATATGATAGAGGAGTATGGAAGAAGAAAACACAAGCAGTAATGCGTATCGGTTTGAAGGGTGGAGCAGCCGTTGTAACTATACTGAGGCCTTAGAACTCATATCTCAAGGTGGGTGGCGGCATTTACGTTGTAGATGTCTATGGAGTCCGGTAGCCACTTAACACCAGGGGGGCCGTGAGCTCGTCTACCCATCTAAGTAAAAAAATATTTTTGAGAACCTATTTTCAATTTTGACTAGGCATTTTTTTTGTTGAACGTAATAGAATGTATTAAAAATGTATCCGAAATTGGAAGAGATAAAAATAAAGTAATAACCGACGTGCCTCGACGCTCTTTATCCTAAAAGATATCCTGTACTTGATAATTTAACACCCGAATTACCTCCGGCGCAAAAAAGGCGACAAAGGACACCCAGACGACAAAATGTAGGGTTAACAAACAAAAAAAAAACAAAATTATTATTTAATGTATAATATTCGAATTACTTTTTTAATGAGATCAGTTGATAAGAAAGTTTGTTCTCTTGCAGGTTTTGGAAACAGTGGCTGCCTTTTGCTGATGGCTTATTAATTATTTTAACACTTACCATGTGTGAAAATGTTTCAATAGTTGCTACACGTAAGGGCGTTAAAGACTTAACACATTAAAATAGCATGTTACAATAAAAGGCGATTTATCCTATTATTTGTTTGTGTTCAGCCAGGTTTCTATAAGAAAAAAAATAGCTGAGTCTCCAAGATCCTGGTATACGGACGGTATATTGGACCCTGGTATATATGGTATATAGACGGTTATAATTATAAATTTTCATGACCGAATAAGAGATACTTGGCGAAGACCTGGATTACGACCGCTCAGCGTAGTCGCTTCGCTTTGTATGTTATTAATATGAATAAGAAAGGGATTAGAACTGACACGTCAAACAGCCCTTCGGTGAGCACCCGAGATAATTCGAGTTGAATCGCCATGAAGAAACATGCAGAAAATTGATGAATAAATTGTGACAGCCCTAACAAAGCACCTTTTGTCCCTTTCACAATTTGCTCGTAATAAATAGCCTTTGTGATAACGTTGTGGACTAAAAATTGAAAGGCGGCTGTTAAAGGCAATTTCGTGGGAGGGATTTTAAAAACGCTTAATGAGGTTATGGCGCGATGTCATTATGTGGTTCTTATTGCGTTTTAAGCGCGGCCTGATTAGGGCACGTACTTCGATACACCGTACTAGCGAACTAAACTGAAAATGCTGTAGTTTATGCACCTCATCGATTGTCCGATTTAAAGCAATTACAGCAGGCAGCGGTAGGAAGCGGCTTGGCTCTGCCCCTGGAATTTCTAACGTCCATGAGCTACGGTAACCACTCATCATCAGATGGGCCGTGTGCTCGTTTGCCTACACAGGCAATAAAAACAAGTTCACGTAATAGCAACTGTCCACTGTCTGCCGTGAGACTTAATTTTGAAGTGCCAATTAGATTTATTTTAAAAAAACATATTGAGTGTAAGGAAAAATGATTAAAAATTAAAAATAGTGTAAGAAAAAATGATTTTATGGTAAAAAAGCGTGGGTTGCTTTTCAGGATATTATCAAAATAACCCTTCTTCTCATATCTGTTCATAAAGTGTTTATAACTATTGATACCATTTTTTTTTTTTTTTTTTTTTTCGGGTTGAGGGCCGAACCTCCTACGAGGTCCCCGCGCAAAAGGGGCGCGCGGGGTATGTGAGACTCAACGATTTGCATGGTGTTGTGAGCAGACCGCGGGCCCAAGGATTTTAGAACCCACCCACTAAACGACTCCCCTGCACTCTTACACCCGACGTCCGATCCCCTCCGAGGTCAGAACCCGGATGAGGTAGGGGGGCTACCGCGGTCAACACTACAACCAGACGGCGCGGCTCACCCAGGACGCCCAGCCGACGGAGCCTTCGAGGCGAATCGAAGGCTCTGAAACGTCGGCCGTCTCGGTACGGCAGCCCGTCGGGCCGCCCAGACAGTGCCGCTGGTGTCCCGGAATACCCCGCTGGACCAGAACCAGCCTGCCGGGTCGGGACGCGATACACCGTCAACCGGTCGCTCTATTCACTTCACGGCAGCGCGCTAGAGTGCTGGTAGCGCGCCGCGCGGCTTCACCCCCTCAGGTCGCCCCTTGACCTTCACCGGGGGGAG